AGTTCGAGACGGTGGGATGCTTTTTTGCTTTATTGTGGTATCGCTCTTGCTGCGCTGCTTCAAGCGTCTATGTCTCTATCATTCAACAGAATATGTTGGCCATCACCATCACCACTCTGGACTTCTGGCTGCCAGAGCTATCTCTTCTTGATGATTCCTCCTGCAAACCTCCTGCAAAATATACCACAGCAACTGATTGGGCGGTTCGACTCCATCACTGCAATTTACGGTCCACCCAGCTATGTATGTATTTCAACCAGTGATCCACTGCACTCGATTAGGCAATGTAGCTGGTACATGCAAAACAAACTTCATGAGACTCGCACTGAGTTACTTTCGGCGCGCCAGTGCCTAGACTGACTAGGTTACTGGCTCCTCCTCTTTTTCCTTCCGGCTTATCCCAAGGGCAGGAGCAATACGTCCCAAGTCGCGTGCGCACTTTCCTAGTTCGTGCATGAAGATATTCCTATCAGCACTTCCGATACAGTCAATTCTTCATTGTAGCACGCTGTTTAAACAAGAGACAGAGTCCGAATCTTCTATCCCTTTCTTTCAAGCCTTTCACCCAGAGCCACTAGCTGCTTGCTCGTTTTTCCTATTTTGCATCCACCGGTGTGTTGTATCCACTAGGAACAGCCATGGTCAAGTATGACATTCCCACTTTGCTGGCACTCAGCCACAACGGACGGATAGATTTCAGCAAATTTACTGAGCAGGCCGTTGGAAGTAAGTCTTTCTTTTTCTTATCTAATTAGTGAATGCTGGAAACGAAGAAGGATATTTTGCTGACACAGAAGTCTCTTCATCACTAGATAACGTCCTTCGACAACGCAAAACCAGTACGAGTGTCTTGTCGGAGCAGCCAGTCAACCGGTCAAGGAATGCCTCAAACTTGTCACGCCAGAGCGAACGAACTCTTTCAGTTCCAGAGCACGGTGTAATTTATCCCTCTCGGCAGCCAAGTAACCCTCCACAGAGCATCCGCGCACACGCCGATGCCGGATTTGTTCAGTTTCTAAAGGAGCATACATCCCCGAAGCACCAGCGTGTCACTGCTGGAGGCCGAATCGTTCCAATGGAACCACAGTCCCCTACCCCCAAGGCGAAGCAGCCGGTGCGCAACATAAGTGCAAGAGCCAGTGATCAGAAGATATCTAAGCCTTCGTTGCGAGATGACACTAAAATCAAACGCGAAAATAAACATGTGCTGTTGCAAGATAACAACGCGAGTGTTAATATTTCTATAGCTGCACCGCAGCCTGCTGAAAGTCACGACGATATACGTACCATATTGCCTCAAAGCGGTAGTGCAATTGACCAGCACTTCTCAAACTATGGACAAGCACCGACTCTTCTGTCTACGGCAGCTGCCACAGGGCTGTTCTCCCAACCCAGTCTTCCATGGGCCATGAGTGACCCACCAATGCCTCAAATCGCCTTAACAGCCCCAGAAGTTATACCAGCGGCCTCGGACTACCCTATGTATGCCTTTGGAGATGGTCCATTATCGTGGGCTTCAAACATGTATCCTACCCTGGGTACTCAAGGCCCCGTAATTCCTTCCATGCCAGCAGTCCAGCCATATCCCACTGTTACCTCGACTTCTGACTTTTCCGCGGAAAGCAATACAAGTAGCGGCAGGGCGACCTCATTTCTTGGTCAGCTTCCACCTACCTATGACTCTCTTTGCCCTTCTCTGGGCCCTCAATGGCATCAATATGCAGGTGGACAAGTCCCAGCTCTTAATCAACCAATGATGGTTAGCACTCCTCAAACACCGACGTACCAGAAGTCTCTGGAAGATGCTGCAAAGGAGCATGAGTCTCTTACCAGTAAGCTATCCGGTATTGATAGGTATATGGCTGTGCACAGTTGGGATCTCGACCCAAGTGCCAAAAAGATTCTAGTTGATCAGCGAATGAGTTTGGTGAGAGAACTGGATGCGGTTAGGATATACAGGGAACATCTCGAATGGGTTTCTGGAAGATTGAACACAACGATGCCAATCAGGCAACATCCCTCGAACGTCGCTTCAATGTATGTCGCCAGCGGCCACACAGGTAGTCCATCTCTAATGGGACCTTCGCTGTGCACACCCAGCTCCGCTTCTGCGCTTCCAGCTTTTTCGATGCTGCCACTAGCAAACGCCCTTTCGCAGTCGCTCTCCCTCAATGAGACAGTTAACGCATCAATGCCACTACATGCTGTATCCGATACCTACCCATACAATGCGACAATCGGCTCAACAGAGGTACGTCCAAACCATAACTCAATCAAGGATGCTAGCTTTTCGCATGCCGCACGAGGAGTTGAGACACGGATCGAACCCAAGAGGTCAGACAAACAGGTCCAGACACATGGCGAGGCCAAATCGAGAACTACTGACGGAACTGCTGGATGGAAAACACCTACGAAGATAACCGCTTTGGACGTTGAAAAGGTGCATCATCAAATTGAGGAGGCCACTCGCCGAGGCGAACCACTCGATGGGCTTCTTCGGGAACTATCAGCCGCTACTTCCAAATTGATTAAACAAAGGCGAGATGAACTTCATGAGCCGCGCGGGTTGCTGTCAGCCGTGCCTGCTAAGCACAACCGCAAGAATCGCGCGGAAAGTGAGGCGGGTGCCGTCAAGGGACTATCAGACAAGCATGAAGCTCATGCACCTCTGCTGCGACACTCAACCAAGGCCTGGAAGCCCGGGAAGGAGCTGCGAAGGCCTGGACTGCACAGCGCAATGGGCCCATACATGGGTGCGAAAGAGATGGAAGAGGGTGATGACCGTCAATCTATATCGTCGTATGTGTCAACGACGGACTCATGGGCTACCGTTCATCAAGGAGAGTAAGTACTGTCCGCCTTGGAAGGGCATAATCCTGGAGTATACTAAGTTTGCAGGCGTCGACGTGACAAGAAGCTACGGAAGATCAAAGAAAGACGGGCGAATCGAGAGATGGTCGAAAGGTAGTAAGAATCTCCGAGCATAGGCAAGCAAGCTGATGATGTTGCGCAGCAGACCCCGTGGTCCACTTGAGCATCCCCATGTGTCGAATGAAGCCTTTTTACCAGGTCCTCAACGTTCTCGAGGGCAGAATTTGGGCCAGCCAGGAGGACCACCGATATACAAGCCACGCAGCCCCCCAACGTTGATAAACCCGACTGACCCGATGAGGCAGACCAGCGTGGAGGAAATGAGACAGCAGTATCCCCAGCTTCTGACGCAGTATTTTAACAAGGACCGTGGTCTAGCTTTTCAGAAAACGGCTGCCTTGGCTGTCTCGCAGAATGTTAATGCACATGGGTTTCTGCCCCCTTTCGAAGGCGTAGGGAATGCGCCCCATAAGAACAGGAGTGCACCAACGGACATGACCGAAGGTGGAATGTATCTATTCAGCGGAAAGATGTCAAGCTCCAAGCAGCATGATGGACACGGACAAAGAGGCAAAGAGGCCCCTGGACCAGCCAAGCAAGCTGGAAAGCCGTGATTGAGTCGGGTAGAGCGAGGTCCCCGCGGCGTCCACATATACGATTCTTTCTGGAACAGTTGAACGGGGTCAGATTACCACCAGCAATCAGCGGTGAGTCCTAGGAGCAGGGTTGAAGGGCATTGGGGAAAGCAGTTGGAGATATGGCCGTATGGCATCATTGTATTACATGTATTCAAGGGTACCTCTCGTCCTACAGAGTCGGACCCTTACGGTTGGAGTATATCTTAGAATGAGGGATAGTGTTAGTATGGTATCACTGGAAAAAGTTATTTTCAAAAGTCTTTGAGGATGAAGATCAGTCTACTTGTGCTGATGCAGCGAAAACCCCAGGGGGTTATCTAGATAGCAGACGCAGTCGGACCTGGGTTACTGGTAAAACGGTTTGAAGTGGTATTTATCGATCAGTAGCGATCAGGAGAACTTGGCTTCAGCCCACCTTCTCCAGGCCAGAGAGTAGGCAATAAATTCATTGCTGGAGAATCAGGTGTGCAGCGGGAAAGACAGAGTCGATCGTTACTCTGTAGTTGAGGAGGCCAGAGCTCCCCTTGCGTGGATGATGGATTCCCCCACATCCAGGATCCGTCGCCTGACTGGTTAGTCCTCCGCCACACATCCCCGCAAAAAGATGTGAGGTCGCATCTCGTATTCTTAGTTTTGACTAGGGAGAGAGCAGGTGGATGAAGGTAAACCAGTGACCAGCAGGATGTGTGAGTGTATAAGTGTATGAGTGAGTGTGGATGGGTGATGATGATACTGTAAAAGTATGTATGTAATAAAAAATAGTAATAATAAGTATATATACGGAGCTAACAAAAAAAAGGCACAGCAGATAATAACAGCAGCGGCGATAATGGCTGTGTTTTTTTTCGTTCCATGTTTTGTAAAAGACCCACGGTGAGGAGGCAAGTGGGCAAGTTTCGGGGAGGAGGGCCGGAGTGCCTGATGGTCCTATCAGATGTGCTGGCAGGCCCATGAGGGATGGCGAGTCATCCATGGGAAGTTCAAAGCTGAATCGAACAAGTCCAGAATGTGGCAACTGGCTAAGGCACCGGCCAATCTGCTAACTCCAAGAGCGCTGGCCGGCTTTTGTGGTGAGCCCGATCGGATCTAAGATAACTTACTTGGTTGAGTAAGTACTACGGAGTAGGTAACTACTATACTGGTTACTTAGTTACAAAGAGGAAGATGGCATTAAGGGGACGAGCTGAATGGCAGACAATACTAAGTAGTACTTACAGTATACAACAAGTATTAGATACTGTGTGACATCGGATATGCATACCGATTACATACCGAGTCAGGAAAAATAGAAGGTATCTGGGCTGGGCTGGGTTGAAAGAAAGAGATGATTGCTGTGCTGATAGCAAGATGGATACGACAACCCGATACTACGGTGATAAGTGAAGTAACATTTATCTATCGCCCGGGCTTTATCGGCTCCCCTTCTACTTTCGCTTTAGTATTCCTTACTATTTACTCAGACAGTTTAGTGCAAATGGTTAGTGACGGTGAGAAAAACTAACTAGTGACCGTACTATACCCGGTATGGAGGCGTATGATGTATCATGCCCGGGCTGCGTGACTAAGCCCAGGCTGTGCCATTCCAACTTTCCCTCCACGTCTCCACTCCGTCTCCGGCCCTTTCGCTTTCTCTCTCTCTCTCTTCTTGTCTTCTTTCTCTTCCCCTGCTGTTTCTTTTCTTTGAAAGCCCGTCTTTGGCCCGGGGATTCCATTCTTCAGCTTCTGTTTCTTCTTCGGTGATACCTTTGCGACCTCTGTGAACGCTGCGTTCTTCCCCGCCCGCGATCTAGCCGAGGTGTTGTCCCCCATTCACAGCCAACCCCCATCGTTCCCGGGCTGGAAGTGCCTCTAAATCCAAGTTTCTGGTGCACACTAGCACCACCGCCTACCAATTTCCCCCGCGGCTTCTGGCCCGTTACTGGGGCCCCTTCCCTCCCGTCGCAATTATTATCTCTCATCGCCTACTTGCCCCGTTCGTTATCACCAAACTCAACTTGAGTACCTGGCCACGTTCCTGGATTCAATCCAGGCAGTCACCGGCATGACACAACTTTTCGCCTCCAGTCCGTCCTCCGTGACGAACGAGAAACGCGGGAACTTTCCCAGTCTCTCCCTGGCCTCCAAGAAGCATTCCAACGATTCGAGCCACTTCCCCACGAGGATCAAGAATTTCTTTCGCATCAACAGTTCCAGCAGCAATTCTTCCCATGCCAGCCACCACAACAATGACCCGCGTGATCGCGATGGCAATACCTCCCCACCCGCAAAGTCTGATGCCAAATCCGGCTTTAGACAATCCCGGTTCCTTCCCACTATCGGCCGAAATCGCTCAACCACCGTTGCCAGTGAAGGCAATCCGCTAGACGAAGGCGTCTCCCCGACCGCAACGGCCAATCCATACTTTGTCCATCAGGGCCAGCCTTCGTTGCAGCATCGGAACGATGGCTCGGTGCCGTCGTCCCCTCCAGATACCCCCGAATTGCAGGTGGACGGTGTCTCTGCTGCCGAGCAAGCGACTACAGCCAACAAGGTTGAGTTGGCTCGTAAGCTGCGCCGTGTTGCTTCGGCTCCGAATGCGCAGGGTCTGTTTGCCCGTGGCGAGTCTGACGAACGTCCTCAGACGGCTGAGACTGGAAAGGAACTTCTGGAGCCGTCTGGGGTGGATGATCCACAAGTCACTACGGTGGAGGTGGCGTCCGACAAAGATGTGAATCTTGCCGTGCCGAAACTTGGCCCCCACAGTAAGATTCCTACTCCCGGCCAGATTCGGGATTCGGTTGCTTTCCGCAGGACGTATAGTTCCAACTCGATCAAGGTGCGCAATGTGGAGGTAGGACCGGGGAGCTTTGATAAGATCAAGTTGATCGGTAAGGGTGATGTTGGCAAGGTGTATCTTGTCCGGGAGAAGAAGTCGAGTCGGCTCTATGCTATGAAGGGTGAGTTTATGTCTGCAGCCTTGTCTATCGGCGAAGTGTGCTGACTTGACTAGTACTGAGCAAGAAGGAGATGATCAAGCGGAACAAGATTAAGCGGGCATTGGCCGAGCAGGAAATTCTTGCTACCAGCAATCATCCATTCATCGTTACACTTTACCACTCTTTCCAGTCCGAGGATTATCTCTACCTGTGCATGGAATACTGCAGTGGTGGCGAGTTCTTCAGAGGTGTGTTCTACGTCCGATAGATACCGGCTGTCGCTGACTCTTTTAGCTCTTCAAACCCGTCCAGGAAAGTGCATCTCCGAAGATGCTGCGCGATTCTATGCCGCAGAAGTTACTGCTGCGCTGGAGTACCTCCATCTCATGGGTTTCATCTACCGTGATCTGAAGCCCGAAAGTATGTACCTTGATAGACATAGGTTTGACTTATGCTGACTATATTGCTCTAGACATTCTCCTCCACCAGTCTGGCCACATCATGCTATCTGACTTTGATCTGTCGAAGCAGTCCGGACCGGGCGGTGCGCCTACAATGATCCCGGCGCGGAGTGGCAACTCCACGACGTCTCTACCGACGATTGATACCAAGTCATGCATTGCTGACTTCAGGACCAACTCGTTTGTCGGTACGGAAGAATACATTGCACCCGAAGTCATCAAGGGTTGCGGACACACTAGCGCAGTCGATTGGTGGACGCTTGGTATCTTGATCTACGAGATGCTGTACGGCACGACACCATTCAAGGGCAAGAACAGGAATGCTACGTTCGGCAACATCTTGCGGGATGAAGTGCAATTCCCCGAGCATGCAGCGGCCCAGCCAACCTCCAAGTAAGCTCTCTCGGTCTGCTTTGTCACACAGTTGCTAACATTCACAGCCTCTGCAAATCATTAATTCGTAAACTGCTCATCAAGGACGAGACCAAGCGCCTTGGAGCTCGAGCCGGCGCTTCGGACGTCAAGACCCATCCCTTCTTCCGGCAGACGCAGTGGGCGCTTATCCGGCATATGAAGCCGCCAATGATCCCTCACCAGAGCCGTGGTACGGATACCCTCAACTTCCGCAATGTCAAGGAGAGCGCGAGTGTCGATATTGGTGGACCCAGCACGACCAAGATGAAGGGTGTACCGATGGATTCGGGACTTGCGACGCCAAATGGCGAGATAGCCGATCCGTTTGAGGAGTTCAACAGCGTCACCCTTCACCATGACGGGGACATGTGAATGGCCCGTTGTGCACCACCATGTTTTCTGCCTGCCCAAGCATATGCTTTGCTAGAGGCTTATTTTACGACTATGATGCATGAAAGATCTCTACACGGAGTTCACCATCTTACAGCTTTTACCTGGAGTATCGGAAGTTTGACGCTGGGAGTTTGCTTTTCTTTTTCTTATACACAGGGTGGTTATCGATATATGCTGATATCCAATGACTGCGTCCCCTCATGCATGGGCTAATATTCGGCTGTCACTTTATGGTTTGATGCGGCAGCGATGTAACAATTTGATTGTTTCTTTGTTTCTATCACAGTTATTGCAGCAGACGGCGTTAGCGATTTCGGTTGTACCTTAGCAAACAGATCTTTGAGCAAAACAGTGGTGTGGGCTGACTTGTTCACACCGGGACGGTTTTGGTCGGGGATGTTTTCTGTTCTTTATTCTGTATTTGTGGGCGACTTATTGATGCTTGGATGTCCGATGGGACAGGCCCGGTGCCTTATGGACATGATTACGTTTATGAATTTATATGTATTTTCTAGACTCTACAGACCGCTCTGTAAATGTTTCCTGATATAGATTCTGAACTAGATTCTGGTAGTTGATTGAATGAGACACGACGGAAATCCATCCGCCGCGACCCAAACAAACCAAACCAGATCCAAACATACCTACTTTCAACATACACCAAACAACGCACCTCCCACCAACTCAACAACTCCCAACACACACAGAGACACCCAAAATCAAGAGCACAAAAGAAATTAGCAAGAAGATACTCGTTAAAATGTCCTCCCCACCCGACTCCCACAACCACACCCCCCTCCACGACCAAGACCAAGACCAAGACCCCTCCCCCTCCGCGCCAGACTCAACCCCCAACAACCCTCTCCTCCGCACCACCAACCCGCTCGTCAGCTCCCTGGAACAAGAAGTCCTAGATGAATATACTCGGCTATTAGGGAATGTGAATAAGGTGTGTCCCTACCCCAATACCCCACCCATCATCCCACACTCAATCAATCCTTCCATCCATCCAATCCTACTACAAACACATACACAGGCTTTACACACCACTACACGCATGCTAACCATACCCCCGAATGGGATAAAGCTATCAACCAAACTCTCCACACTCGCCGAATCCCCCACGACCCTCACACTGGACGGCCTCCGCGGCCTGGAACGTCAAACCGCGACTGTCTGTACCCTGCTCAAGGCGAGCGTGTATAGTATTGTTCTCCAACAGCAGATTTTTAATGAGAGTGAGGAGCAACAACAACAACAACAGCAGCAGATGCAGATGCAGCAGCAGATGGAGATGGAGGGGGATGGGTATTCGGGGATGATGGGGCAGGGGGATGATGGGTATGAGCAGGGTGGGTATGGGGATGGGGGGTATGGAGGGTATGGGGTTGAGGGGGAGAGTTTTGGGAGGTATTAAACTATTTTCCTTGCAGGGGGGGATGGGATATGGGGATGGTGGATTGCATGGTATGGGTTGACTGGGTTGGGCTATGGGTGTGGTGTTTGATAGATGTGATTGATAGATGATATACCCCGTTTTGTATGTTCTAGATTTATTTAAGTGTTGATTTGTTGATGGGTTGATTGAGTATTGCTTGATGCTGGATACAAATACATGTTTAGACTGTAATACAAGATTGAACAGAATAGAAAGAAAAGGAAAGGAAAACATTATATACACCGCCCATGACGCAAATGAACATGTCTGCTGTCTGTATGCAGTGTTGTGTTCAGAGAGATATATCTTTCTTTCAAGCCCAAACCTCAAGCTGTTCGCCGCTCACGACGGCTTAGAATGCCCTTGCCAGAGTAGTACACTCCCCGTACATCGACCATCTTCTTACCTCGGGCACGGGCAATATCCTCGGGGTTGCGCTGGCTCATGAGCGCCTCGTAGGCGGCCTTGACTGTGTTCATGGGGTTTCTGGACCGGTTGACCCGGGCGGCGATATCGTGGATACCGGCCGCGCGGCACATTTCGAAGATCAGGTGCTGGCAGCGGAGACCGAAACCTGTGGGAATATCAAATGTTAGCACTAAGCTAATAGTTCATATAGCGGACATCGTACCTGGGGGACGGTGCATCAACTTCAACTCCACAGCTCCGACCTTGCCCTCGACATCACCGAAGATGGTCCGCTTCTCGTAGCGTGGAACAGGTTGCATGTTCTTCACAGCACGAGCGCGAGCTTGTTGGCAGGCATCGACAATTTCATCGGACTTGGCAATTCCAATTCCCATGAGACCATTCTGGTTACCGGCGACCGTGACGACGGACATACTCGGGACCTTACCCAGTCGAGTCTGGTTGCTGACACGGCGAATGACGAGGTCCTTGATGTACAGGGACTTGATGTACTCTCTACCGTAGCCCGTGACCTGGAAAAGTCTCTTCTCCGCCTCGTTGGGTTCTTCGGGGTTCAGATATGTGAGCTCTCCAAATCTGGTCCGGTATTGCGGCCTCGGAACAATCTCGTCACCCATATGTTCCAAGGTTTCTCCGTCCTTCAAAAGATTGGGCGAGAGCGCGCTGTGTCCGTTGCGCTCGTTCTCCTCCTTGCCGTGGGTCACCCGGTTGGTCTCAAGGAATCGTACGAAGTCTGCCGGCTGGGGGTCCTCCGATGATTCGGCAAAGAAGCGGGCGAAGTCTTCCATGAAATCATCCTCCGTCTTGAATGTCGCGTTGTAGTCGGAGTTGGTCTTGGGGGCGCGAATGTGCTTGTCGACGCCGGGCTCAATGACCGAGAAATCATCGAGATACTTCAACCTCATGGGATCCCGACGGAGACGGAACTGTTCAGCCAGGTCTTTCGGGTCAATGGTCTTCTCACCGGCCTCAATGGCGGCGATCTGTTCGGGCGTGTAATGTTCCCGGAGGGAGGCCTTTTCCTCCTCAGTGTAGTGCTTGAAGTCGTCAAGCTTCACCTCCCGGTAAATTTCATCCAGAGACTTTCCCTCGGGGGCCTTGTTGACTTCAGGGACCTTCGGTTTCCGATCGGAGAGCTGTATCGACGACAGGTGGAACTGGCGACTAGGCACGCGAGGGCCGGCGGAGGCCGCACGCGAGAAGCTGCAGAAGAGGCATCGGGCCGGACGTGCGAGACTCATGATGAAATGGATAGGGAGCTCTCTGGCCAGCAGAGGCCACTTGAGAGCAGATAATCCGGGGTGGTGGAGAAGAGGGGGGGGAGTAAATGAGGTGATGGACGGGGAAGTTCAAGACGGCGAAGGGAAGGACATTGAAGTTCGAGTGAAATTCTCAGCGGGTCAACTCCAGCCAATCCCCGCCCGCCTTTTCCTGCTCACTCACTTTTTCCTTTTCCTCCATCACCCCAACTTTCTTTTCTTCCTCCTACTTCAACTTTCTCAATCCCTCCATTTTCTGATTAACTGGTTCGGGATTTATATATGTTTGCCTTGCGATCCTTGCGATCATATACTCTTCGAAAACTCCCAACCAGTGTCCCTCGACAGGTCCAACGGTTGACCCTCTTCCATCAATCTGCTTGCCCGCGCAATGCGCAATTAGCCTCCAATCCTCCCACCATGCAGAATTCCCCCAAGAAGCCCGACACCGTCGCAAAGCGGCGCAAGAGAGTCAAGGCTCCCCGCGATAACAAGAGCAGCGGCTTCGACGAGGTCCTCCAGGCCGATATTGATCAGCTTCTCCGCAGACACAAGCCCGAAACCGAGCTCGAGACAGAAGAAGCTTCTACACCCCCGCAACCCACCCTTCCCGAGCCTTTCACCGAGATTGAAGTCCAGATCGCCGAGATCTCGTCAACTGGTGATGGTCTCGCATTGTCCGAGAACCAGGATCATGTCTACGTTGTTCCTTTCACAGTCCCCGGCGACAAAGTGCTTGTCAAGGTGGTGCGGCACTTCCCCTCCCTGTCCTACAGCATGACAGACTTTATCAAGGTCATTGAGCCTGGCCCCAAGCGCAACGATGCCGGCATTGGTTGCCAGTATTTCGGCCGCTGCTCCGGATGCCAGCTGCAAATGATGTCGTATGAAGACCAGCTCGCGCACAAGAAGCGCATTGTGGAGAAGGCCTACGCCAACTTCTCTGGCTTGATTCCGGAACTTATTCCTGCCATCGACGAAACTTTCCCATCTCCGCTGCAATACGGTTACCGGACGAAGCTTACGCCGCACTTTGCAGCTCCTGGCGGAAACAAGAGGAGGGGCAAGGGACCCCGCGAGCCGCACAAGGAGGTGCCCCCGATTGGTTTCACTTTCAAGAACCGACGCATGGATTTGGATATTGAAGACTGCCCGTTGGGTACCGATATTGTCCGACAGGGATTGAAGAGCGAGCGCAAGCGTGTGGCTGAGACCATCGGCAATTACACCAAGGGTGCCACTCTTCTTATGCGTGAGTCGACCACTCGCGTGCCAAAAGAGCAGGACAGCGAGAACCCTCCTGCGCCCATCAACAAGCCCGGACAGGATTCCGGCGACGTCATCCGCGTCGAAAAGGATACCTACATTGAAGAGAAGCGCTGCGTGACCGACTCGAACGCCACCAGCATTGAGTATGTCGACGACTACGTCTTCACCAACAAAGCTGGCGCATTTTTCCAGAACAACAACTCCATTCTCTCAGGGTTCACCGAGTTCATCCGCCAACACGCTATGCCCCCGAACAACGACCAAGACGCCAAACCCATCAAATACCTCCTGGATGCCTACTCCGGCTCCGGTCTTTTCACCATCACCCTCTCCCCGCTATTCAAGTCCAGTCTGGGCGTCGACGTCGCCGGCGACTCCATCGCCTCGGCACGGGACAACGCCCGCGACAACAAGCTCCCGAACACCGGTTTCGCCGCCGCAGACGCAGCCGTTCTCTTCAAGGACGTCCCCTACCCTCCTGACCAGACTCTGCTGGTCATTGACCCCCCGCGCAAGGGATGCAGTGACGACTTCCTCCGGCAGCTGCTGGCCTTTGGACCGCGCCGGGTGGTCTACGTCAGCTGCAACGTGCACACGCAGGCGCGCGATGTGGCTGTCATGGTGCAGGGTGATGCGGAGAAGAAGATCCGGTACGAGATCGAGAGCATCCGTGGATTCGACTTCTTCCCGCAGACGGGACATGTTGAGGGAGTGGCTATTCTGAACAAGACGAGTATACCCGAGTCTGCTTGAATTCATTTATATGATGGCGTTGGTGGTTAAAAGGAGACATGATTGATAGATTCGCGTACATACAATGAGCAAATACTATTTGCAGTTTGCAATTTCTCTTCATCTATACTCTACTTATCGTGCTGGTACTTCTGATAACCCGCTACAGAACTAATCAACTGAGCTCAGTCTACAGATCAGGATCGGCAATCTTCAAAACCGCCTTGCCCAAGTTCTCCCCGCGCAGCATGGCAACAAACGCCTCGGGACCATTCTCAATGCCCACCGTGATATCCTCCTTGGCATTGATACTGCCCTCCTGGAGCCACTACACATCATCAGCAGTCATCCTCATACCCAGGAAGAATGATACACTCACAGCAGTAACCTTCTCATCCCTCTCCTTAATCCACTTAGGTCCCATATCCTTATCCCCAACAATAAACCCACGCATGCGCAATCTCTTCGTGACCACATTATACAGATTCTTAACCCCATACCGCTCCTCCGGCTTGAGATTATACTGCGAGACCATTCCACAAGCCACTGCCATCCCATCCCATCATCAGTCAGCACGTCCTCAACTCCAACATCCAAGAAAGAGAAGAAAAACTCACCAACCCTCCCCCCATTATTCATAACCTCCAACACAGCATCCAATTGCTCCCCACCTACATTCTCAAAATACACATCCACACCACTCCCCCCCTCACCACCAACCAACCTCCCCAACGCCTCCTTCGCCCCCTCAACCCTATAATCAAAACACTCATCAAACCCCAATTCCTCCACCACATACCTCCTCTTCCTCTCCCCCCCAGCACTCCCAATCACCCTACACCCAACCCTCTTCGCCAACTGTCCCACCACACTCCCCACCGCCCCAGCAGCACTACTCACAAACACCGTCTCGCCCTTCTTCGGCTCCCCGATCTCAAACAGCCCAGCGTACGCAGTCAACCCCGTCATGCCCAAGATCCCTACATACTGGGACAGCTCAATCCCAGATGGTAGCGGGGTTGGGATCTTCCGGATAGGGCTGTTCGCTCCGTCGAGGCTGTTTTCGAGCGTCCAGAGCTGCTCTTGTTCTTCGCTGCCGGCTTCGCCGGTGGCAGGGGCAGGGGATGCAGATACAGCCAGCACGCTGTATTCCTGGACAGGCAGACGCGCGTAGATGATCTCGCCCGGTGCGAAGGATGCGTGCGTGGAGTGCACCACTTGGGCTACGGCGTAGGCCGTGATGGGCGTGTTGAGCGGGTATGGTGGACTGTAGGATTTGATGTGGGCGGGGCGCATGCGCCCGCGCATGTAGGGATCCAGGCTGGCGTAGAGGAGCTTGGTGAGGAGGGCGTTGGGGTCTGTGGGTGGGGTGGTGATGTCCAGGGGGCGGGGGAGGGGGGTTAGGTCTTTGTGGGGGGTGGGGAGGCCCGTGGGGATGTTGGTTAGGATTAGGGAGGTGTTGGGGTACATTTTGATGGAGGTGTCCTTTGGGTACTGTGTGAGTGATGGTGTATTGGTTTGGGGGTGATTGGAATTGAGAGGAGTGAGAGGAGGAGGAAGGTGTACTTGGTGCTTGTACTTATACTGCGATATGGTCGTATATGCGGGGAGTGTATGGTGCGGCGTCTAGTCGGTTTAGAGTAGGTCTATGCTGCTCTAGGAGGGATCGCCGGATGCTGAATGGTGTGATGTCTAGTACTATACTAGTAGTAGTAGTGTGCTACTGGTGCTTACTGCTTCCTGCTTAGAAATGCTAGTAGTGCTTAGAAATACATCTGGCTGTTTCTTGATTTCTGAGGATGTAGCGGCATTTACTTCCGATAGTGGTTTACGAGGCAGAGGAAAAGGCAGTCCTGAACATAACATAGCAGAGTAACTATACATTTAGTATATACAAGCAAGACAAAAAGATAACCGTCATCTATTTACTATCACCGGATATTGGCAGAAGCAGAAGCATATCAAGTTAAACTATAGACAGAACCACATATTTACGAACTGCCAGGGCCTCCCAACAGCGCGAAGCGGCGCACGATACTAGGACCAATCTCATCGTATTCTGCCTTGGTGTGGCAGTAACTGCGGAACTCCGGCGTCTGTCCCAGCAAGCTACCTCCGAACCACGGTCCGTGGCGCTGTCTCTTGTGTGTCACAACCGCCACGTCCAGTCCACCACTTCTGGCACCTCCGCTGCGCGCCTCCGACGCCCGAATGCGTGCATCCACCAGATGACGGATGTCACGCTGAAGACGCCGTCCAAAGTCCTTGTACAGCGTAGATCCACCGGACAACACAATGTTCTTGTACAGACCCCTTCTCACATCGATGGGGGAAGACTGGATCACGCCGTCGACGACGTTAGGCAGGGGGGTCAAAAAGTCCGACGAATAGATCTCGGGGTTGAAGAAGATCTCCGGCGCCAGGAAACGTTCGTAGCCCACATCGATGCTCACGGTCCGGCCGTTGGGCGAAGTCACGGTGTGCTTAAGCAGGCGGTCCGGCTCACGGTCGTAGCGGGCGAATTCCTTGACGATGTCGGGGCACACGTAGCAGTACTCTTCCTTGACCTTCTCAGCCGTCTTCAGGCTGCTGTCCGGCTCACCGCGGTCACGGAGCAAGCTCTGGACAAAGTAGGTGATATCGCGACCGGCAATGGGTATACTCTTGATAGATGATCCGATGACGTAGCCTTCGGCGACGGGAATAACGTGTGTAACACCGTCACCGGAGTCGATGACGGTTCCGGTGAGAGAGCGGTCGGTCACCTTCGAGGAGGTCCACGAGGCAGCAAGGGCCAAGACAGCCTGGACGGCGATGTAGAGACCGGCACAGTTGAAAGACTCGAACATGATCTCGGCGGTGTTCTCACGGTTCTCGGGAGGGTTCAAGGGCTATGCACACAATATCCGGTCAGCATCGCATCCGCCGAAGGGCAATTGGAGAAGTCGGAGGTCTTACCGGCTCAGTGAGGAGGAAGTAGTGGTCCTCCGGCTCGACGCGCAAGTACTTGAAGATGGAATTCGACCAGAACCGCTCCATGTGATCCCAGTTCTCGATCTGACCATGGCGAATGGGGTAGTTGATGGCATAACCGGGCCCGTTGGCCGCTGCCAGAGCTTCATCGCCAATGAAGAAGTCCAAGTCCTCTGTACCACGCTTCGCGGATAGATGGGAGCCTGCCCCACCACCGGTAGCTAGGAAGGAGGGTTTGTTCGCAACAGGAGGTCTACCGGCAGCGGAGGAGCCAGCGCCTCCGGCACCAGCTTTGGTCGCAATGGCGGTGGGAAAGACGAAAGAAGGCGAGTCGTTACCGGCGAAACCTGGAGACTTGTCAGCCTGGAGCTTGCCGACGGAGCTCCACGTGGAAGCTATCCGGAGTCCTACCAAGCTTGGAATAACCGGTACCGCTGAGCAGAGAGAAGGAGCGGATTAGTGACCGCGCAAGTAAAGTGTGATTTGGGGATGGTAAAGGGCATACTTGTCCATGACAACGGCCGGAGTTTGGGAAGCCATGATTGATGATGTGGAGTACACGCACACTCCCCCTGATCAGTGGTCGGACTAAGGAGGTGGATGGAAGAGGTGAAATTAGACGATTGAATGGGATTGCAGGGATGAGAGCGCAGTCATCCAGGAACTCCGCCAGGAAGGACGGGCGAGAATTATGACGAGAAGGGGATTGATTGGAGGGGAAGAGGAGGGGGGTAAAGGGACGGAGATGGAGATGAAGGCGGGCGGGCAGTCAGTTCAAAGGATGGATGGAATGCCTGGATGCCCTGCCTGGATACTGCGGCTGCCCCATACTTTACGGGTAACGACGTCACGTTTGGTATGGTACACCCACTGCATCCACAATACACTGCAGATGTTATTACCTTCAATTCCACATGTAGATAGAATCTCACTCCTTTTGGTGATAACCTTAACCAGCAATGCATAGTCGGGGATTATCCTGGCTCCTGTAGTGTACCTCTCATGTGACTAACTCCCATTGGGAGGTGAATCAGTTCTGTTCTCAAATTTGAAATGTAGACTCCGTCTTCTTGATATTTGTGAAAATAGTAAACCCTCCTCAGGAAACCACCTCCAATGCAGTTGTTGAGGAAGGAACTTGATCCAATGATCCCATCTACATGTCTGGGCTTCACCATCCGCCTTCTTCTATACAATTGAATCCTACCAGATCCTTAAACATCTCCAAAACACTTCCACTACCTCAATTCCTATCTTCTTCTCCTACCTCCCTATCTCCCTCCCTCCCGCTCCGCATCCTAGGTGATCATTTTTACTATATCAAACCTATCCTTAACGGTTATACTCACCGTTTCACCTCTGCGTTCACTACAATTACGCCGCTCGAAATCAGAAAATCACCAATCGCCCCGGCAGCAAGCTAGTATCAAGAGACCCGCGTCTTCCTCTGAACAGTCAATATTTTCTTTTGTGTGTTGACGAGTTCGTTTCTTCCTCTCTTCACCCCCTCTTACTGCTCGCTTCTACCATCTTCGTCTCAGTGTTGATACCGATTCCAACCCTGCAATTCTACGTGTACCAAAACCACGGAGGGAACCTCAACAAGTGAGTTGCCGGGGCCTCCCGCCCTGAAGCACTCACGGCCTCCGAGACTGCGTCGTCTTCTCCAGTGCTTCTCCAGGTTGCACCTCTCAGTTCGCCTGAGAGCACAGCAACTGGATTCTACAATGAGTCGCTCAAAAGGAGGCGGAGATATCTCTGCCATCTTCGTTCATGCGGGAGCCGGCTTTCATGCCCCACACAACGAGAAAGCGCATCTAGAGACCTGTGAGAAGTGAGTTCTCCACGCCCAACCCACGCCTTCGTAGGTCATGTCCGAACCGAGCTAACGAGAAGCAGAGCGGCGAGAGTAGCAATGTCGTTACTGAAGAACGGTGGATCGGCTGTCGACGCTGTTGAGATGGCCATCATGGTGCTGGAGGATAGTGAGATGACCAACGCTGGCTACGGTAGCAACCTCAATCTTGAAGGCACTGTCGAGTGTGATGCTACTGTTGTCAATCATCTAGGACGCAGTGGTGCTGTGGGTGCCGTCGGTCGTGAGTATCTCATGTCTTTCCCAAACTGATTTGTACGGTCAAATTCAGTGCTAACGGCCTGGTGTAGAGGTTAAGAATCCCATCTCCCTTGCACGGGTCATCCTTGACGCTTCCTCAAAGCCGCTCTCGCTGGCCCGAGTACCTCCAAACTTCCTAGTGGGACAGGGTGCTACAGATTTCGCGTACGAACACGGGCTGGTAGTGCTACCCCCGGATGGCCTAGTAGCTCCGTCGGCACGAGAAAGGTGGACTCATTGGAGACGTGATCTGGAAAACGCTACTCTCCGGGAGAGGAAGCAGTCTGGAGAACACACTCGCCTGAGCTCGCACTTTCGCCGACCCCCTACCGCCAGCCCAGCCCAGCTGCTCTCTGCGGCTTCGAGCCCAGGGCCAGCCCCGGTGACTGGAGAAAGCACTCAAAGTACCAAGAGCTCACCCACTGCAGACCCACGTCGTATCGTGCCGCCGGCAGGCTCGGAGCTAGCACCCTTTGTTGCCCCCAGGGTCAAGGATGGCAAACAAACCGATGGTGCGCGGTCCATTGCTGTTGGGAACATGTCTACGAGTCACGATAACTTGTCTATTGCCGAAGCTCCCCATGGCGTCGACGCAATGGACATTGACCGAGTCAATGATACCGTCGGCGCCATAGCCATAGACAGTAAAGGAAACATCGCAGCGGGCTCCTCTTCCGGAGGCATTGGAATGAAGCATCGCGGGCGGATCGGCCCTGCCGCGCTTGTTGGTATCGGGACTGCGGTAATCCCCGTGGATCCTAATGATCCAGAGGCAACCTGCATTGCGACTGTTACTTCGGGGACTGGTGAGCACATTGCAACGACCATGGCCGCCAGTACCTGCGCGTCACGCATCTACTATAGCCATCGAAAGCGCGAAGACGGCGGATTCGAAGAGGTCACCGAAGATGAGGCCATGAGAGCGGTTATTTCCAACGATTTCATGGGTACTATTCGCTATCTGCATTCGAAACTTATAAGCTAATAGGTGATTAGGACATCCGGGCGTTAAGAATAGTATCTGTAATGGGGCTATTGGCATCCTTTCGGTCAAGAAGACGGTCGACGGAGCGTTCCTCCACTTCGCCCACAACACCGACTCTTTTGTAAGAAGCCCCGCCTCAGGGAGGTCTATGCTAACTACGTCAGGCCCTCGCGTCAATGAGTAGTGTGGATAAGAAACCCGTGTGTGTCATGTCTCGCAATGGCGGGGGCGGCAGAATTGCCCAGGGTGGCCGCGCCTGCAGAGCCAAAAGGTATTTGATAAAAGCTAATATACAGATCAAGCTAAGCTGACAACATCAGACCCAGGGCCCCTAAACCAGCGAAATAGAGCCTGTCCTGCGTCTTCTGTACTATGTGCATCTGGCATCCGTGAGCATTTCAGCGCTTGTTTCCGGGTCGGTGACGTTCGCCGACAGAATGATCGAGTGCAGTGCCGGCCACGCCCCGTCCGTTTGGTTGTCAAGTGTCAGCGAACATCCAGATTGAAGCGATGCCGCACGGGTCCTGGGTATGGATGCAGGGGCGAGTGACTATTTGCTAATTCGAGCCGACGATACCTTATGAACAGTATTCATTGGCAGCTCTCGTCCAGTCCATCCATCCCGTAGCCAATACGTAGACAACGTCCTCTTCACGTAGACAATCCCACGCCCACAAAGACCCTCAAGGCCCCGGCGTCGGCGTAGGCGTCGGCGTCCCTGCCGCAGACACTCCATTCCCCTTGACCTTCTTCTTCTTCTTCTTCCTAGCCACGACAGCCGGCTTCGCCCCATAATCACTAACATCCAACCGACTCCCGCAAGTCAAACAAACCCCATCCCCCAACGGCTCACAAAAAATACTCAAACAAATGGAACACACAAATCCCACATCCACGACCCGTCTATGACAAAAACACGCGGCCCTAAAATCCACATCCACCCTCGTCGGCAGCACCAAATGCCGTCTACTCCTCTGATCCGGCAAAAACGCCATCATCAAGTACTGCAATAACCCCTTCGGCTCATCCAACGCCATATACACCCCCTTGGTCGCATCCGACGCCTGCTGCAGGAACACCGCATCGCCAGATACCTTGCATACATCAATCGGGATATGAAGTCTCTGGCACGCGAATATGGCGTTCATGATTGGGATATATTGATGCGCTGAGCCCGTGGAGCTGGATACGGAGAGGATGAGGATGCGTGATTGGAGAGTGGATTCCGCAGTTCCTTTTGTATTTGATGAGGATGATGTGGATGTGGTAGATGATGGGTCGTTGGGGTTGGAGGTGTCGATGTCGCCTCCGTGCGCTTCATTCCATGCCAGTGTGCGCCGGTTGATGTGGCTTAGTGCGAGGGTTAATGCGCCGGCCATCATGGTGGAGGTGGTGGATTGGAGGGTTGAGGGGGTGGTTTGGGCCATTAGGTTGTGTAGGTGGCTGGAGACTTGTTCTTCGACGATGCGGAAGGGTCGGTATTTGTTTATGTTGGTTGTTGTTGTTGTGCTGGGGGGTTGTGGTTGTTGGGTGGGCATGGGGATGTCGCCGTCGGGGTCGAGGTTGTTATTGTTGTTGTGGGTGGGGGATTTTTCGACTGGGTATAGCCATGTTGCTTGGGAGGTGTGGGAGGATACTACGGCCACTTCGTTGGCGTAGTTGCTTGCTAGGTGGGCGTTGATGAAGACGAGGATGTTGGCGATCGCGGTGGAGAGGGGGAGGGTTGGGGATAGGAGCGCCCAGGCGTGGGGGTTTGTGTCGAGGATGATGGTTAGGAGGGAGGGGGGGCGGTCTGTATTATGGACATTATTGTTAGTTTGGGGAGATGATATCTTGGGATTGGAGATCGGCGGAGTGGGATGGGATGGTGGTGGTGGACGTACCGTGGGCGCTGGTTTCGTAGTGTTCTGTTGCGTCGATGGTGTTCATCTTGTATATATATATATATGTGTGTGTGTGTGTGTGTGTTTAGTGTGGGATATTGAGGTACAGAAGGTCAGATCTGAAGCTGTCGGTTGGTATCTAAGCTGTATACATTGTCGTGTGGAGGTGAGCTCGGAGGTGTATGCGGTGCGGAGTTGGTTCGAAGCTTCGATTCTGCGTGGCGGTTGTGTGGTTGCGGGTATAAGTTCAGAGGGAGTTTTCTGGGCAAGCTGCCTATTTAGATATGTGAAGAAGCTGCGGTCGATAGCCGGTGAGGTGGAAATGACCGATCGAGAAGTTTTTGTAGAAGAGATGCGATTACTTCGGACGCCGCACGGAGCTGGAAGATCTCCGGCGCACGTGATCTATACTGCGGAATGTACCGATACAATGAGCCTACATTTTCAGGCATATGTGAAAGTAACTGACAAATTAATAACAATATGCATTCAACTATGTCATCCAAATTCTAACAAATGATAAATCACGCTCTATTTATTGGGGGTTAGATGTGATGGCCTCCGGCCTCACATGTAGATGGTCATCTTTCTGCTCCGTTTGGTTCAACACAGGGATGTTGAGTGACTCCTTGAGAGAACCAGACGTCGCTCTGGCTAGAGGACTAGGCTGCGGCGAGACGCCCGGCGTGTCGCCCTTGCCCTCGTGCTCTGTGAGACCCTTACGGATGGCGAGAACCGAGTCCACGATGACAGCATCAATTCCCTCCGCCACTTGGAGCTGCGCAAGCA